GTGTGGACCTTACCTATCAGGGCCAGGTCAGACTCTACAAACTTCATAGCAGAGAAATGATCACCAGGCATTCTACCTATGTGGTGTGGTCATAACTACTAACTACCTGATGGGCTTCTCTAAAGGAAATTTCAGTTCTCATTTCCCAAGAGAATGCCTGAAATTAGAAAATCTGAGGACTCCTCAGAACAATGTTTCTAATCATTGCTACTTTGTACAGCGCACAGCATCCCTAGCTCCTTGCCTACCTCCTTCCTCCAGGGTCCTTCAACAGAATACTTGAATTTTTCCAAGAGCTTAATTTTCTTCCAGGAGTTCACCTGACTGCAGAGTCCTATTTTCCCTGAGCAAGGGAAGAGGAGCCTTCAATCATCTCACAGGAAGATGATAGCATCTGCTTGGGAATTCCAATGAGATATTTTACTGTAGCTTTTCACAAACATTATATTTAAAGCTCCCTTGGGAAGTGGGGGCTGGGAGGAAAGAAGCTTCAGAGAAGACCTTCATTGGCATGAGTGAAGAACCACTCAGACCTCCCAAGGGAACAAGTTGTTTAAATACCAGCAATCTACATTCCCAAATGCATGCGCACACACAATATGTCTAGTTTTAAATTTCATCCCCTGCTCTGAACGGGTTAAATTGTTCCAGGCAAAGGCCTGAGGCTTTTCTATCGAAATGCTCCAGATGGAAACTACAAAATTTCACTTCTCAGCTCCATGGTGCACACCCACTTTTCTTCTAAGACATTTAAAAAAAAGATAAGACCCCTAATGTTTTGGAGAAAGAATCTGCTCAGCACATAGTGCCACTCTGTTTCAGATGATTCCTCCCAGAATATTTGAATGAACTGCCAATCTCAAGCTTTTTCGGGGCCTGCAAACACTCATGGTATGAAGAGGGTAAAGGAAAAGGGTCCCTGAATAAAGACAGGACAATAGCTGGGACTGTACAGAGTGAGATGAACCCACCCAAATGCCACCCAGATTATTGCCTCCATGCACTTTACCACCTTTCACTGCTCCAATCCCAAAAGAGGCTAACAGGCTAGAGGCCAAAAGGCCTCAGGTTATGACCATGAATCTGACCAGGGTTGTCAAAAATTTCCAGAGATAATGCATATGAAAGAGCTTTGTAAACTGGAAACAGCCATGTAAAAGCTCTAAGAATATTATTACTCTCCAGTCAGACACTGAGAGGCATGAACTTTCAAAGGAATCTGAACACCCACAAACCAGAAACAATGATGGTTTTTAAGAAGGCAGCTACAAGGCAGGCTAACTAAGGAGGCAAGCCCCTAATAAAAGCACAGGGGATAGGGTTGGGGCTGCACCCTCAGAAGTCTTTCAGGGCACATGCAAGCAGGTGGTTTAAAGGGAAGCAAAAACCACGGGACAGACTGGGTTCCCACAAAGTACGTTTAAGTCCATTTGATTCAAACCATTCTGACTGAAAAGCAGGACCCAGGACTGTGGTCAGATACACAGAGAACAGCAGCAGCCAATGATTCGACAGTTTACCTGTTTGTTTTACAGGTCTCGTGCAGCGATTTTCAGCTGGTGAGCCGCAAGAATTTTTAAAACATACAATACCTGACTATTTAGTCAGGGGCACTGACCTCTTTTCCCTTAGATTGTCAAATTAAAAAATAACAACAGCCAACACAACAACAGCCGTCCAGTGTGAATGAAGCAAAATTATACCTTTTTTTGGTCAGATCAGCAAGACATATTTTTTGGTGTACCGCAGAATTTTATTAATTAATTATGTGTGCCATGAGATGGAAAAGGTTGAAAATCATTGGTCTAGAGGCTTTAAGTGACTGGCCCAAGCTCCATTTCGCTATTACTAGAGAAATTTACTAGAACTCAAGTTTCATTCCTGGACTTGTTTCCCATCACTTAATAGTTGTGCTTTGTAAATAACAAGCAACCCAACCTTACAGGTCAGCAAGGTGAGAAGGTTAGCTAACAGAGGAGCAGACTGTTCCTTTAGTGAGCACTTACTTACAAGTGCCAGATACTGTGCTAAATGATTTTTACATACTATCTCAGTGAATCCTAACAACTACTTTAGCAAAGGCACATTATTTTTCAGGTTAGGAAACTGAGGCTCAGACCAGTCATGTGACTGGCCCAAGGTACTAGGCAAGCAAGTGGCTGAACTGAGATTTAACCTGGATCCCTTAAACTCAAAAACTTGTGCTCTTAACCACCAGACCAAAATAGCAATTTTGTTTTTTATCTTGGTATCTGTAAGAGAAGTATGACTGGAAGCACTGTGAGTCCCAGGTAACACAAAAAAGTCAAAGTCATAATTCTGATAAGGGCTTCCAGCTATTGGGGGAACAGAGCTAATCCAGAACCTAGGTCCTCTCTCTCCAAGGTTTATGCTCTTCCATGGAGACCAAAGGCTCTAGAATGTAAGCTCCAAGTGGGAGGGGACTTTGTCTTGTTGACTGCTACATGGCCACTCCCAGAGCACATAGAAGGCACTCAATAAATAGTTGATGAATAAAGGAATGGAGTCAATCTGCTGTGTGACCTTGGGAGTGGGGACCTTGTTATCCTCACTAAGCTTGTTTCTTCATGCAGCAAACAGAGAATAAATAATATCCACCTCCAGGGTTGATATGAGAATTAAATGAGACAATTCTTATAAAGCACTTGAGACAGGCTTGAACATAATGAGCACCAAAAATGTAATCTATTATTATCATATTACTATTATTATTCACTAACCAATTTTGGCTTCCTAAGGATTTTTCCCCCTACTGTGGTCAGATGATGTTTCATAGTAAATATGAACAGAATAAAATAAAGAATTGGAATTGGTAACCTGCTTCTAGTTTCAGATCTACTACCGCCTAGCTGTGTGACCTTGGACAAGCCTCTTAATTTTTCTGTACTCTCCTCAGCTATAAAATGAGGGTCTAAACCTTTCAAATCAGTTTCATAAGCATTTACTGGGCACCTTCTCTGAATAAGACATCATGTTCAACCACCTATAAAATCTATGAATAGTGTCAATGGGAAAAAAAAAAAAACAATCAAAGCAAAGCAGAGCAGTACCCTGCTTGTGGCAAGGTGAAGGAGAAATCCCAAATCACCAACTTCATTACATCATCTCAATGAACAATGTTTGTAAATACACCAAGTGTTTAATTTTGAGACATTTGTGAGAAATCCTTCACCATTAAGGAATCTGCAGATACAGTTCCATTAACACCTATCAGCTCTGAACCTTCCAAAAAATAAACATGTAAAATCATTTTGCACCTTAGTCAATGGCATGCTTCTGGAGAGAAATCTGGGAAAGTCAAAGTTATTCATACTCCCTATGGCAACAGTTAAGAATAGGATGTGTAAAAAAAAAAAAAAAAATAATGACATATCTGGTTAAAACTGCAGGGGTGGAGGAGGGGGAGGGAATTCCAGGAGGAGAATGCAGTGCATCTGGACTGGACAGGACACAGAGGTAGTGGCCTATTGTTTACAAAAACAGGCCTGGATTATGAACAGTGACAAGAGGCCAAGACCTCAATTATAACTCACAACCACACCTCTCCCAATCCTAGTTCAGCTGAAGCTATCAATCAGTTAACTCCCCCATCTTCTGTAATAAACCCACCAATATCTGCAGCCAAGTGGAGAGAAGGTCCCTCAGGGTATCTCCAGCAATGACCAAGCTGATGACATTAAAAAGATCCTACAGGCACAATGAGGACTTCAAACTACCTCCAACCTTCTAAGAGATAAGACAGCTGCCTAACTCTACCCCTACCCCAGGCAGTCATTAGAGAGAAGACATGGCCCTTTCCAAGTCTTCTATGATAGGAAAAAGCCTTCTTGCATTGGTGCAGGGAAAGAAGGAGGTGCCCCTCCCTCTGTACTCCGAAACAAAGGAAAACCCAGAGCTCCAACCATGTGGTGTAACATTCAAGGCCACCCACCTCTCCCATTCCCCAGCTGAGGAGGTCTCAAAGGGCTAGAGCCACATGGCTCTTACCAGTCACTGGCCAGGAAGGGACAGTACCTTACACAAACACATGCTGGGGCTCTCAAACAGGGGGGGACCCCTTCTATTGGAATTGCTGATTTGAAAAAGGCTATCTGGAAAGGGGCTTTGATTCACATGCCAAGTGAGGCAGTCCACTAGATGTGAAGACAGGTCCTTTGGTTTCTCCTGCTTTTACCCTACACATTTTTGCAGAGGTAAGTGAGTCATTAAAAGCATGTATTTTGGGGCAGAGCGCGACCATGCTGAAGGATAAAACAATTATGTCTTCCCATCCTCCAGAATTAGCACCACCCAGCAGCCCTAACATCCCAACTCCATTCAGGTTTAGGTGAGGGCAGAGACCGCATGTGAGTGACCTTATCCTTTCTGTTCTCTGATCTATGGCTGAATAAAGGGCAACCAGAGATCAGACAGGCACAAGGTACATCCAAAGTGGCTACAGACTTTTGTGTCTGATGCCATTGCAAGTGTCATGTTTGGATATAGTACATCAGAAAAAACCGCCTCTCTCTGGGCTCTCCAAGAGGTACACATTCTCAAGGTTGCCTTTCTCTGCCTAGACTCCTCTCCAACCTCTGGAATAAACCTCGAATAAATTCCCTAACACCTGTCAGATTTCAGTAGTCCTTCAAGGAACCTAACCCAGACAACCAAAGGCAAATTGCCGCCTTTCTCTCTCCAAGAACCTCCTGCCCCTCCCCCCACTCTAACCAGCTTATTGGGGGAAAGGCTGACAAAATAATGACCAGCCCTACAGGCACAAACCCTAAAGCCCACTTTGAAAATCCCTTTCCTGAGCCTGTAGCCCCTGGCACTGCCCATCTCTCAGAGGCTCAGACCCACCTATGAAACCACCTCTGGGGTCAGCCTGCCCCCACCTGCTCCACCCAAAGAAATGAACCTCCTGCAAATCAAGGTGGAAATACATGCCTCAATGGCCCACAGAGCAAATTCATTAGGCTATTTTTCCAAGCCCTTACCTTTGACCTGAGTATCGTACTCTGCTATGATCTCCTTATCCTTTTTGAATTTGGCTGGAGACGTCATGTTTTCCTTCTTTCTTCCAAATTCGAATTGTGAATTGATAGATCCACGGAAAAAATCCAACCACCGAAATCAATACCTCCAAGACCGCTTCTCCCGAGGGCAGAAGGGGCCCCCCCGCGGTGGTCTCCAGCGCTCCGGGGAGCGCGGGCTGCGGGATAGGCAGGCAGCTACGGCGGGCACATGCAGACGGTGGGCTCTGGGGCCGGGCGCGGCAGCGGCTGGTTCCTGTGCTAGAGCCCCAGCCGCAGGCTCAGCATTAGCCGGGAGAACTGCAGCGCCCGGAGGCTGGCCTGGGGTCTGACATCAACGACACAGGCGGGGAGTGCAAGTCCTTCCGCACAACATCGTGTGGGGGTTGTGGGGGTGTGGACGCGCCCAGCTGTGTACCCCGAGGGAGTGGGTGCGTATTGGGGTGCCGGGGGCGGGCTGGGCGTGCTTCGCGGTATTTTGTTGCACAGGCTCGAAGATGCTGCAAATCAAATCCCAAACGGGAGCCGCAGCAGCACGGACTGGATCGGAAGTCGTTTGCTCCGGTTCACTTGCCTGTAAATGCAGGGATAAGGGGAGGGGGTGATCAGCCCCGGCGCAGATTCTAATCGCTGGCGGGGGTGGGGTGAAGGACAAGGCTCCTAGCCCGGCCCAGGCCCATTCATCTCCGACAAACGCTGCCGGGCCGGGAGAGCTCGGCGCGGCTACGTGGGGAGGAAGGAAGCTCCCTCCGGATTTTGTTTTAAGGCTGAAAGAGAACACTTTGGAGCAGCCGCCCGCGCTGGCTTCGGGTGGGGACTGCGGCGGGAACGCGGGGCTCCGGGCGGGGACTGCGGCACCTCGGCGGCCTCTCCAGCTCCGCCAGCGCTGGGCAGCGGCCAGCCGGAGGGACCCTCCCTGCCCAGACTCCGACGCGGCCCCTGACCCCCGGCAGGGCAACTCCCTGGACATCAAAGGGGATCAAAGCTGGGGAGGAACAAGCCACCCGGGCACAACTTTTCTTCCCCTCCCGTCCCTCCTCCCAGTTGTTTTGTTTTTGGTTACTAGCTTCCCTTGGCAGCAAAATGTTGGGTGGGGGGCGGGGGGAAGATCTGCAGGAAAAGGCCTGCTCGGCACGGGACACATCCAGGAAAACAATGTGGTCGGCAGAAGCAGGAAACGGGTTAGAGGCAAGGGTCGGAGTCGGAAAAACCGGGGGGGGGGGGGGGGGGGGGGGGGACGGCAGAAGGCAGCCGTCGCCTGCCCCAAGCCAGGGATGAGAGTGACTCTAAATGCCATCCCCAACATTTTTTGTCTCCCAAGCCCAGAGATCCCAGAAACCGCCCCCAATCCCAGGCTGGGGGGGTGAAGGGTGGGGGGTCAGTGAGGGTCGCAGTCCCGACCTCTCGCACCAGGAGGTGCCCGAGGAGCTCCCGCCCCTCCCGGGAGGAGGAAGGGAAGCCGGCGGGAGCGCACGGTCCGGCGCCTCGCTCCCCAGTGTGCCGCAGCGACCACTCTCCTTGGCTGCCCCTTTCTGTCTCTGTGCCGGGAAGAGGCTCCCGCCAGTGTCTCCCACTGCCTGCGCCCGGAGAAAGGGCCCCAGGGAGCGAGGAAGAGGGTGCAGGGGTGGCGAAGTGGTTCAGACGGGCAGGAAGAGGGGAGGGGAGGAGAGATGGGGTCCTGAGGTTGCACAGGAGCCGGAGGTAATTGGAGCTGCCGCACACGCTTGGAAGACAGGGAGAAGGCAAGGGGAGGATTACCCTAAAGATGAGGGGGGAATTAGGAGGCTAGCGTGGGCCGCGATGTACATGGAGCGCAGGAATGTTCGTAACTTTGGAGACCCACATATGGGTCTGGGAACTAGAGTGCGAAGAGGAGCCATTCGGGGCGGGCCGGGGGCTGGGACCCGGGAAGGGCCCCGGAAGCAGTGCGGAACACCCATCCCGCGTCCAGAGCTGTAACCCGGCTGTCTGCCAGGGCTTGGAAACAGAGTTGAGGGCAGCCAGTGGTTACGGGTGTTGCCAACGACGGCTGCCCCAAGTTGGACCGAGGCTGCCTGAGTGCAGAGAACTTGGGGAGGGGCTGGGTGCGGGCTGCTCCGCGGCGTGTGAGGCAGGGCAGAGCCCCAAGTGGTGCGGTGAAGGGCTGAGAGAGATGCAGTCCTGAGAAGTATTGCCCACAGTACACGGAGTTTTGTAGAGGGTCGGGGGAGGGGGATCTGAGGGATTCCTGACGGCACCGCTAATGCGATGCAGCAAGCAGCATCCGCGCCCTCTCCTTTCCGCCCCAGCCCGGGTTTGTTCAGACAGGGCTCCAGTCCCGCGCCGGGAAGAAGGGGAGAGGGAAGAAGCCTTTACCTGACTCTGACGCGACGGGTCTCAGGCCCCCGGGTCGGCTTCCCACTCAGAGTTCTCCTCCCCTCTCTTCCCCGCCACCCGCTCCTACGCAGATTGGTCCCCTAGTCCCCTCAGGAGCCTCAGCCAACTCCGCAGGACCCCGCTGGGAAGCAGAACCCACCCCTTTGCCAATCACCGCCCGCATTCTATCGACCGATGGGGCCTGTAGCCAATAGGAATAGCTGATCCCGAGAGGCCAGGAATGAGGAGGAGGGACTGGAGAAACTTGGAGGCGTGACTAGCACTACCGAGGCGTAGTCACTGAGTAAGCTCCTCCCGCTGTGGCCGAACCCTAAAGTAGAATTAATGGGCGGGATTAAGTTGGAACCAACAACCAAACACAAATTCTTGAGAAAAGGTACGACCAATTGGACCGGGGCGCAGAGGAGGAGCGTTGGGGAGGATTTTCACCAATAGAGAGTAGAGACCAATGTGGACTGTAGAACGTCTTCCAATAAGAAGCGCGAAGGGCGTCCTTGCCATTTCATCAGGGCGGGAGCAGGCCCGCCCCACCCTCCCAGAACCCGCTAATGAGATCGGCGGCGGAGCCACGCCAGGCCAACCAGAAAGCCGAACTGATCTCGGCACCGTTACTGAGGCGGGGCGTAGGTCTCCTCGCCACTGAGATCTCGTCAGGGCTTCCGAGCCTTCCAATGTGGGACGTGGGCGAGCTCTAGTTCTCCCAATCGGTGTGTGGCGCTGGAAATTCAAACTGACAGCCGGTTGGAAGGCAGAGGGAACGGAAGAAGGGGCAAAAGACGTGCTCGGTGACAGAGACCCCAACGCCGACTGAGCCCCAAAAGCGACCTCCGCCCCGCCCCGCCCCAGCACCGCACGCTCTGGAGCGGCCGCGCAGGGAGCGACCTGGGAGAAGGCGGGGGACACGAGGGCGAGCTGAGGGAGGGGGACGCGAGAGCCAGCGCGTCGCGGGCGGGGGGCTGCAGAGAGAGAGCGAAGCGGGGCGGGCGGCGATCGAGCCGAGCGGAGGAGGATCGCGGGAGGACTGCAGCGAGGCAGGGGTCGTCCGGGTGGGAAGAGCTCGGGAGATTCCCGAATCCTGAGAAGAGGCGAAAGATTTCCAAAGAGGAGGCGTGGGCAGGGAGACTTAGCCTGCGGCCCGACGGTCGGGAATTCGAGCTCTCCGAGGGTGGAGCTTAAGAGAGGAGAAGCTTTAAATAAAAGGGAATTGCTAATGGGGCGGGAGCTGGAGTAGCGGATCCTTTTAGACGCGAGGAAGGGAAAACGGTAGAGAAGTTCCCGGGGCCCCTTGCCGCGTGGCCCTCCCCACTTCAACCTGCGCCCCGTTCCCGAAAAGCTAAAAGGAAAGCCAAGGTTGCTGCTGCTCGCCTGTTCCTACTCAATAAATACTACTTTTACCCTCCCAGAGGGAAGCAAAACTCATTTCTTTCCCAATCTTAGGGCTCGGAAAAGCTCGAGGCCTCGCTATTTGTTTTTTGTTTTTTGCCTGGGGGAATCCAACTAGGAAGGGTCTTGCTCTTGTTTCCATTCTCCAAATCCCACCCCTCATCCTTCCCGGGGCGCCATGTCTACCAGCAGTTGTAGTTTCAAGGACCGGTGCGTGTCCATCCTGTCTTGCAAATTCTGTAAACAAGTGCTCAGCTCTAGAGGAATGAAGGCTGTTTTGCTGGCTGATACCGAAATAGACCTTTTCTCTACAGACATCCCTCCTACCAAGTAAGTCGTGCTAGCGGCGGGCAACGGTAGCCTTTAACTAAATGGGAAAATGTTACGGCTTGGACCTCGGAGTCAACAAGGAGATTATCATTTTGGTGTTCCAGCCACTCCCGCCAGTCTGATGATCCCCTTGGAGTATAACTAAGTGGGCAGACTGTCTGGACAAAGTCTGTGGTTTAGCCAGAGTGGTCAGTCCTGATGTAATGCTTCTGGTCACGTGACCACATCCCTTAAATTGGATCCCTGGCGCTATGCCCTCCCCAACTATCCTAGCTCACTGGATCAAGGCTATGACCTAGACTCCAGGAAATTCAAGCAAGCTTTTCTGCACTGTTGGAGAGGTCAAGTGTTTTGTTTTTAGCCATCGTTTTACATTAAAAAAAAAAAAAAGTCATAGTTTTCTACCATTATTAGCGATTGGCATGCTGAATCAGATTCCATTTCTATATAATTCAGTAGTTTCTCAAAAATCTCTCTTTTTCTGAATGAGAGAGACTTAGATTTTTATGAGGTGAAATAGAGATTTAGTCCTAAAATGATTCTTGTCTCCCATAAAGTCTATTTTGGATATCATGCATTCACTTGTGTAATTCAATCCTTTTAAATTCTGTTTTCAATAACTACCCACTTTCCGGTGTTGAATGCTTAAGAATTTGCTTCCTATTTGGAAAAATAACCATTTATTTGACTCAAATATACCTTTTTCTAGCTCTAAAAGTTACTTTCTCTTTCAGTAGTCAATATAGTCCTTACATGATTTCCAAGATTTAGCTGTTTGTTGAATCTTTATCATTAAAGTCAAAGAGTGATTATCCAAAATATGGGTGAATAACTATTCTGTGGACACAGAGCCAGAGGCTAATAGTCATAATACTTTAATATGAATTGCATGATGATGATGGAAACTTTAAAAAAAATTTTTAACATAGTGAAAGGTGTGAATTCCTTTGAAATCTTTTCAAATGTACGCATGCCTAATGACAAAACCATTTATTGCAAAGACAAATGGGTTAATATTTAAATACCTCTGTGTGTGTGTGTGTGTGTGTGTGTGTGTGGTGTTGAAAAAAAATCACTAGACAATAAATCTGGAACCTATTGCAAAGTCCCTATGATTAAAATATTACTTCATTCATCTTTACAATAGTTGTGGTAATAAGACAATCATAAGAAAGGCTCACATATGTTCATTGTTAGAGGTTGGATCAGAGTCTAGAATAGAGTTGGGTCTTTCTTTCCTATTGCCTACACTTCCTTGTAGGAGTTAAAATAGTTTGGATTAATGCGTGAGAATCAATGAGCACATAAGATTTTTTAAATGGAAATTTTGTCTTATGGTGAGCTCACAAATATTAACTGACTCTTACAAAATACACTATAGTTCTACTTCAGACTCTCTTTGAGCTCTATGGGCATACAAAATTCATACTAAATCACAAGCAAAAGTATATTTGATAGCAAGGATATGGAAAAATTGGAACCCTTGTGCAGTGTTGGTGGAACTATAACATGGAGCAACTGCTATGGAAAAGCATGACAGTTCCTCAAAAAATTGAAAGTGGAATTACCATATGATTCAGCAATCTCACTTCTGGGTATATATCCAAAAGAATTCAGTGCAGGACCTAGAAGAGATACTTGCACCGACATGTTCTTAGCAGCATTATTCACAATAACTAAGTGGTGGAAGTAATCCAAATGTCCATCAGTAGATAAATGAATTTTTTAAATGAGGTATATGTATACAATGAAATATCATTCAGCCGTAAAAATGAAGAATAGCCTGTTGCATGCTGCAACATGGATGGACCTTAAGGACATTATGCTAAGTGAAAGTAAGCCAGTCTCAAAAAGAAAAATACTCCATGATTACACTTTTATGTGGAATCTAAAACAGTCAAATTTATAGGAACAGAAAATAGAATGATGATTGCTAGGGGCTGGGGGAAGAGGGAAATGGGAATTGTTGTTTAATGGGTATAGAGTTTTAATTTTACAAGATGAAAAAGGTCTGGAGATTTGTTGTACAACAACGTGAATACACTTAACATTTCCGAACTATACACTAGAAATGGTTAAGTTAGTAAATTTTATGTTATATATATTTTACAATTTTAAAAAAGTACATTTGACTATCTCTACACTTTTCCCTCTTCAGCACAGTGGACTTAATTGGAAGATGCTATTTCACTGAAATCTGCAAATGTAAACTGAAGGACATCGCATGTTTAAAATGGTATCTATGACAATATTCTAGATGGCCCTGGGTTTGGAAGATGGATGTTGACACCAAAACAGACACAAAGGTTCAGTGGGCTGCATCGAACACTGGTTATATATAACCCTTGCAATGAGCCACTAAAAAAACTTTCGTTACTTAAAGCTATTTGTTTAAAGGGCCTTGTGACACTTTAAATTTGTATATGATTTTATAATTTTTCAAAGTTGAGAGATATCTGCTTTTATTCTTAGAAAAAGGCAAGTAGTTTAAAAGGGAAAGAAACACTTAGATTTACAGTCATAAAAATCAGGTTTGAGCCCCGGCCCTGCTCTTACTCGTAGTGATCTTGAATAAACTCCTTAAACCTCTAAACCTCTGAACCTCTGTTTCCTTTTTTAATTTCTATCTTAAAAAAATAAACTTGAGAAGATAAGAACTATCTTCTTAAGATAGAAATTAAAATATCTTCTGTGTTTACCTTACAGAGTTGTGAAGATCAGATGAATTATGAATGTTAAAAGGCTTGATAAACTATAAATTGCAACGCAGATGAATGCTATTACTATTCTCTTTTGAGAGGTAAATTTGAGTGTTATTAGTCCCATTTTAGTCACAAAGTTGAGAGTTTTCTCGTTTAAATTGAGTTTGTATTATAAACTCTTTTTTTTTTTTTTTCTTTATTAGCAAACTCTTCTTTTGTGCTAATGACCATTTAATTTCATTCATTTAAACTATTTAATGAGGTCCTACCAAGTGCTGGTCGTTGTTATAAGTGCTGTAAACACAGCAATAAACAAAACAAAGTCACTGGCCTTTGGACATTATATTCCAAAGAGAGCACAATCAGTCAATAAGATATTTAAGTAAATGAGATATTGAATAGGCTAGGAAGTGCTCCAAAGGAACTAATAATCATAGAGAATAATAGAGATTGGGATAGTGGGTAAGAGCTATTTTTGATAGCATGGTTAGGGAAGCCTTCTCATGAGAGGCTAACAAGAGTTGAATCCTAAAGAATGAGAAGGAGACAAAGAATGTTCTAGGCAGAGGGAACAGCAAGTGCAGAGAACCCAAGGCAAGAAGAAGCTTAACATGTTCAAGGAATAAAAAGATGATGGCAGTGTGGCTGAGACTTTGTGAGCCTCTGGGGAGTGGAGTAGAGCTGTAGTCAAAACACAGATAATCTAGGGCAGCACTGTTCAGTAGAAATATGCAAGTCGCATATGGAATTTAAAATTTTCCAGTAGCCACAGTTTTAAAAGTAAAAAGAAACAGGTGAAATTAATTTTAATTATGTATTTTACTTAACTCGATATATCCAAAATACTATCATTTCAACATGTAACCAACATAAAAAATTATTAATGAAATATTTTACATTCTATTTTTTATTGGTAGTCTTTCAAATCTGGTATATGTTTTATTCTTACAACACATTTCATTTCAGACTAGCCAAATTTCAAGTGGTTAATAGCCACATTTGGATAGTGTAGATCTAGACCTTGGTATAAAGGTGTTTATTTGTTTTTATTTGGGGCCAATGGGAGGCCACTGAATGGGTTCTAAGAAGGGAACAAAATGATCTGATGTGTCCCTACCAGAATGTTAGCTCCGTGACAACAAAAACCTTGTCACACCTAGAACAATACCTAACACAGAATACAAGCTCAATACACATTAGTTGAATGAATAAGGGTGGTAATTAAAGCCACAGAATTTACTCTTGCAATACAGTCTTACAAATAACTCAGTGCTAGTCCAAGAACAACTTTTGTTTTTGTTCATTTGCCTTTCAATCAGATCATGATTATAAGACATATTTTAGGTGGGCTGGTACCTTTTATAAAGCGTTTTTTTATAGGGCCTCACAAAAATGACTGACTCCCACATCTCACTGGGTGAGAACAAACTATAATAAGAATTTTTACAACTCAAGGTATAAGCAGTTTATGTTGTCATTTTTTTTTTAAGTGCAAACTAAAACATTCCCTGTATATTCACTCTATTTAATAGTAACTGGATCAGGAAAAAAAAAATCTGTGGAAGAGTGAGGTACTTATAATCAGATGCATAATCCTGAAGACAGAACTTTTGCAACTTTCTCTAGAGGCTGTGGATTTGCTTTACTTCTGAATTCCCTCAAAAACACTGACACTAAAATTAGAGCAGCCAGCTTGTGTTTGGTTTCCAGGGGCTCATGCTGTCTTCCTACTCCTCCATCTGTTGAAATAGTTTTTAGGTGCTGATATGGAATCAGAACATATAAGAACCCAATTTACCACAGTCCTGGGATTAGCAAAAATCATTTACACACAGATCTGAGTTTATTTAATATATTTTGTGTGTACAACACATCAATTTGGGGTGCTTTACAAAACAGTTCACAACCTCATGCCATCTAGAAGCTAGCATCTGAAGGGAAAATGCATAAAATAACACTAGCAAAGAAATGGAGAATGTGTTAGTATTATTTCACTTAAAGACTATTTTCTCACTGGACAGTAGAACTGTAGTCTTTATTAAAATAACTCGCATCCCAAAGATCCCAGCAATGGAGGGTGTTAGGAGGGAATCAGGTCTTTATGTCATCTATTTACATTAACACATAAAAACGCTTACATGGCCAGGTATTACACGGCATCTAACAATATTTACTTTCTTTTCTAGTGGGAACATTGTAGGTTATCATGTGATTGTTCCATGTTGTTCCTGCCTTCTTTCCTGTAACAACGGGCACTTCTGGATGTTTCACAGCCAGGCAGTTTATGGTATTAACAGACTAGACTCTACCGGTAAGAAACAGTGGACTGAAACATTCTTTTAACATATGTCTATCTATATCTGAGTGAAACTCCCAATAAATCATTTCAGGAGTCCCTCTGAGAGCTTACCTGGATTGGATCCAATAGAGTGAAGCATCAATCATATTATCTCAAACATTCACTTATGGATACTACTAGCCAAAATGCATTGCCATTTCTATCTTTATCATTTTATTTAAGAGCCTCAAACTTGGTTTTTTTAAATTAACTTTTTTTTTTAATCCTCACCCAAGAACATGCTTAGAGAGAGAGAGATAGACAGACAGACAGACATCGATGTGAGAGGGAAACATTGATCAGTTGCCTTCCATAGGTGCCCCAACCAGGGATTGAACCCATGACCCAGGTATGTGCCCTGACCTGGAATCAAACCAGCAACCTTTCAGTGCACAGGACAACACTCAACCAACTGAGCCACTGTAGAGGGGCTTAAATTAACATTTTAATTGCTCTAAATTGCTGCCTTGTTACATATTATGACTCCAGAGAATTTTGGAAGATTTTAGATTTGATAGTCATAGTGTGTGTGTGTATGTGTGTGTGTAAGAAAGGGAGGGAAGAGAGGCTAGAGACATGGGGAGTTGGAAGAGAAGATGACTAAGTAACTTATATGTTTGATGTTATTATTTAGGATATAAATGGACATTTTGACATCCTGTATTAATAATTTATGATGGAATTTTAGTCAAAGGAAATATTTAATACCAATATGTTACACTAGTTATTTAGTAGGAAAATATGCAACCTATTTTTTAAAATTGATATTTAGAGAGAGGAGGGAGAGGGAATAAAAGAAACATTGATCTGCTGCCTCCCACATACCCCCTGCTGGGGATTGAGCCCACAACTCAGGCATGTGTCCTGACTGGGAACCAAACCTGCAACCTTTTAGGTGTACAGGATGATGCCCAACCAACTGAACCACATTAGCCAGGGCACAACCAATTCTTAAAAGATATTTATATAATACATTTTATATTTTCTAGAGCCATTCAGTTTTGCTATAGGACACATGTTCTCAATGTATAATACCTATTTACACAACAGACCAAGTTGCAATTTAGTGGGACTTTTTTAGTGGGAACTAAAGTTTATAGAACTTTGGTTTACAGAACAAGTTTAAAGAACTTGACAATCCAAGTTGGCACTCAGGTTTTACAATGTATATTTTAGTCTTCTTCAGAACTTAAAATATATTCCTTTTTTAAAAGTATGACTTGCCTTTACAAACTATAAAGAAAGATCACGAATTGTAAGCTAGGTTGTCAGGGTCTTTAAACCCTCCAATTATGTTTGGGTTTTTAGAGACTGATTTTTTTTTTTAATCACCTGGCATTCAATTGTGGCTCTCAACCATCTGAGGGTCTTAATTTAAGACTAGTACATTAAGAAGGCCATTTTTGAGCAAGGACTTATCTAAACTCCCCTAGGTGAGATACAGGCTTCTAATTTAGATTTTCAATTTTATATTTGTCTTGCTTATGGGACACATTAAAGGAAATTTCTGCTTTGATATTATTTTTTCTGCTCTGTAGAATTTAAAACACAGGGTAGAGATTTTTCAATTTTGATTTACTTTTTAATATTGGTCAATTTTTCAAAGATAAAAGCCTAGCATTCTTCCATTTGCATTGAATCTAATCCATGAGAAACAGATGTATCACAGGATTTCCTTCCTCCCTTCTTAACAGAGGAAGGAAGGTGCTGCTTCTGTCAGATCCAATCTCTTAGTTTATTTTTTCTTCTTTGAACCAATTGTGCTGAGCTACTCATGTCTCTGCGTATTGACTCCAAGAATATCAGACTTCTTCTTTGTAACCCTAATATTGTGATTTAAAGCAGGATTTTCTAGATGCTTGGTATAAAACAGGGTTACTCATGGCTGTTGGAACTGTCCTCGAAATATCTGAATCAGCAGCCTCAAAGGAACATACACACAAGCTTTATAAAATTCTAGAATGTTTAGACTGAAAGGGCCCCAAGAAGTCTATGTTCTAGGCTAGCCTAGACATGTAGACCTGATTTCCTGAAACGTTCCTGAGGAGGCTTGAGAAACCTCAGTTCAAGTTCACTGGGACTGGCAAATGCCCTCAAAGGCAAAATCTCTTCAGCTCTCCATTAACCTCGATAGCAGTGGTTCTCAACCTTCCTAATACCGTGACCCTTTAATACAGTTCCTCATGTTGTGGTGACCCCCAACCATAAAATTGTTTTTGTTGCTACTTCATAACTAATTTTGCTACTGTTATGAATCGCCATCGGAAATATGTGTTTTCCGATGATCTTAGGTGACCCCTGTGAAAGGGTCGTTCAATCCCCGAAGGGGTCGCAACCCACAGGTTGAGAACCGCTGCTTTATAGGTTCTAATTATTCATTAGATTTGACCTAGTGATTCTTTACTATTCTGTCAGCTCTTCAGTACCATATTACCAGAAGCAAAACACCATTCATTCTTGGGAAGAAGGTGTGTTTTATTATAAACAATTCAAACACACATACAAGTTACAGAAAATGATATGATAGGCATATGTCTGCATCAAATATAGGGTATCACCAAAAAATGTATATGCTCTTTGAATAATTATAAATTCCAGTGGGTTAAATCTGAAAAGAAAGAAACATCAAACATTAAAGTGTGTATACATTTTTTGGAGATACCCTGTAGATGCTAACTTCTTGCCTAGTTAAATTCCAGTAAATTCAACCAAGAGGAAGAGTTGATTGTTTCCACTGTTTCAACAGTGCAACAGTGCACATTCTTGCACATGTCTTCTTGGGCACCTGTGTAAAATGGGCAGTTAGAAGAAAGTATGAGTGATGGGTCATATTTGCAATATATGTATTTTTTTAATTCATACAATAGAATACAGAAATAAAAGAAAATGAGCTAAATCTACACATATGGATATAGGCAAATCTCAAAAACATCATGTCGCCCTGGCTGGTTTGGCTCAGTGGTTAGAGCGTTGGCCTGCAGTCCAGAGAGACCCAGGTTCGGTTCCCACTAAGGGCATGTACCTCGGTTGCAGTTTGTCCCTGGCCCTGGTTGGGTTGTGCTGGTGGCAGCCACTTGATGTGTCCCTTTCACATCAATGTCTCTCTCTCTCTCTCTCTCTCTCTCTCTCTCTCTCTTTCTCTCTCTCCCTCTCTCTCCATCCTGTTCTATCTGAACAAAAAATGAAAAAATGTCCTCGAGTGAGAATTCAAAAACAATGTCTAATGAAAAAAACAAATTAGAGCCCTGACCTGGTGGCTCAGTTGGTTGGAGCATTGTCCTGTACATCAAAAAAGGTTACGAGTTCCATTCACAGTCAGGGCACAGACCTAGGTGCAGGTTCAGTCCCCAAGCAGGGCACCTATGGGAGGCAACCGACAGATATTTTTCTCTCACATTGATGTCTCTCTCTCTCTTCCCTTTCTAAAATCAATAAACATATTCTTGGGTGAGGATTAAAAGAAAATTAGAAAAGATACATATAATACCATATTATAAAAATTTAAATACACAAAACAATATGTATAGTCTGTGGTTGCATGCATTTGTAGTAAAAACATCCATGCTGTACTGGTAAGTGGTGGAAACTGAATTCAAACTAAATCTCCAAATTCTGGCTCATTCCATTCTACCATGTGGCCACTATCTTGATATATGTGGAATGGGTGTCCAGACTTGCTGAGTCCTCCTTGTGCCCATATTGCCAACTGGACAGCTTGAGATTTACTTTTTTTGTTAGACTTCACTGGCTCTTCTAAAGGTCAGTTGTTGTTGTTTTCAATTTAGTGCTTTCAAGTTGTAATATAGTACATGCCCAGAATAAACCTCCCATTATCATTTACCGTACATGTGATCTTATACTATATACCAATGCTGAATTCTTCAGTATGAAATCTGATCTTTTACACTGAGGTTTTAGGTTATTGTTTTGTTTATTGTATTGACAGCAACAATCTGGTTATAAAGTTGACAGTTCTACCTTGAAAACCTCTAGACTAAAATTCACATATATCAAGAATTATTGTTCATATTATAACTGGCTCCAAAACCTTGCTTTTTTTTTTTTTAATCAGAAAAAAAGTACCAGCTACTTTCATGCTTGTTGAGGAGATGAGACTTTTCTTGTACCCTCCAAAAAGTCACTTAATCAGAAAGGATCTTGTGAGATATCCATTCTTAAAAGTCATTAAAATAGATTTGAAAAGTATCACTGTAGAGTTATTATGGCATAATGTAGCTGGAGGCAGAGTTTGAGTAAATGGACTCCTAAGATCCTCTTGAGTTCCAAGATTCTAGAATTCAAGACCTTGCTTAAAAGGGTTAAAGAATATGTATGTCCTAGATGAATTTCATTAGATAATTTTATTTGTGGTACATTCTTTCATAGCTTTTTCTCTTTACTGCTGACACTGTAGTTTAATATAAGAATGTTAACCTAAAAAGTTTCATATATCATGTTCACCAAATAATTTTATGACCTTTTATTTTCAGGTGTTAACTTCCTACTTTGGGGCAACTTGCCAGAGATAGAAGAGAGTACAGATGAAGACACATTAGATATCTCAGCAGAAGAGTGTATTAGATGAATAGAATAATAAAATTATGATAGATGTAATATTCAAACTTTTTACTATTTAAAATATATATATTAATACATCAACTTTTAACTTGTTAGTAAGGATTTTCTAGTGATTTATTTTTTGGGGAAACAAAAATAGGGCATTTGTTGATTTATTTATTTGCTGTCTTAAATTAATTACCTGGTGAGTTTAATTTGAGCCAATGTAGTTTTTTTCTTCTACTTACACTTCTTATTCTTCCTCTTTCCATTTCTTAACGTGTGTTCTTAAGTTCAGATAGATATTTTTCACATGCCACTCAGCTACCTCCCAATCTGGGGAAATTTTTCTTACAACTAGATGCCAGCTACCATTATTTTACATTTCTGAGTAAGGGGCATTAGTACCTACACATATATCAACTGTGCACGTATCCATGCATGAATCTATGCATATAACCATGCATACATATGTGATGCTCAACGTGGAATTAAAGCTTAGAAGAGAATTTTAAAAAACAAGCTGATAGGTTTCCATGGGTACTGGTTATCATATGTTATTTTGGTAATAACTACTTTAATATGGAACAAGACTGTGAATCAGCAAATGTAAAAAATGCTAAAATGTGTGGAGAAATCCTCTTGATTCCTCAGCATGATTGATACTAGATAAATGAATTTGTCAGAAAATTATCAATATATACTGTTTACCAATATTATTTATTTACTTTCTTCTAAAGTCATATGGATATTATATTATGAAAGCCAGAGAAACCAAACTTCTCTCTTTAAGTTATCCCATTCTTTAGGGCTTTATTTGTATTAGCAAATTTTAGATGAGTAGTCTCAATCCCAACCCTTATATAAAAAAATTTAAGAAGTGGTTTGTTTAAGCCATTGTACATTATAAAGAGAGTTTGTTCTTTTGTACGCTGCATTCAGAGCCACACAGAAATAGGAAACGGATAGTGTTGGATTCTGGTTTTATGTATGGCTAAAATCAATGTATCGCCTCAACTAATATCTCAGCTGTAGGCGTTTTGTCAATAATGATACCAAAACAGACTGAGTTGTGGTTTTGTAAATAAAGTTTTGTCCTGAAAATGATCAGCCTTCTTTTAATTGTTTATTGTATCCACTTTTCTTATACCTAAAAATATAAAAGTATAAAATAAAAGAACTAACATTTATTGAGTGCTTACCATGTGCCGGACACTTGTAAATGCTTTCCACATTTAATTCACTTATTCCTCTCTTATTCCATAAGAGGTAGGTACCATTATTTTTCCTCATTTACTGATAAGGATGGTGAGGCATAGAGAGATGAAATAGTTTGTCCATGAAATAACTGGTCAGAGAGATGGCCAGATTCAACCTCAGGCAGACAAACTGACTTCAGAGCTCCTGCTCTTCATCTTTATGCTGTTGCCCCTGAGCAACTTCAGACATTCATCAACTATATGGTTTTATTCAGCCAGGATACAGTTGTCACCTGCTGGCTAACTACTACCGTGTTATGTACCCTAGGAGAGGGGCTCAGTGACTAATTTCAAGATTGAGCAAACTCACTCTGGGTCTAGGGTAAAAGACCTGTGGACAATGATGGAATCGTTTGCTGTAAACCAAGATAAAAGATACTCCAGGAAATGCTGTTACTAATACCTGGGACACTTTTCCAAAAGTCTTTCACACTGACCATCAGCACTGACGGGGTCACCAAAAGAACTGGAGGAATGAGTGGAACAATTTGTTTCTTTATTTGAGTTTTTTTTTTTTTTTCTTTAATCTCTCTTAAAGACTTTCTGAAACAAGGTGGCATATGGATAAAATAAAAAATATAAATTGATATTACATTATATACTGCTTCATTTAACCTGTTCGATTAGAGAAGAAAAGTTGAATGCTAAAGTAGAGAATGTGGAAAATTTTAAATTCAAGAGTTCATCTGGTTTCTGTTCTGCTCATGCCAGCTTGACTGAGGGGTTCTTTGAAGAGCAAAAGCAAGACAGAGGTGCACTGATTGAAGCAAGCCCCAAATGTGATTCCACTCCAGCTGGAGAATATTTCAAATTACACAGCTACCTATTGGCAAACTGGGTTACGGGAAGGTCAATTCTAAGCTGAAAATGCACTCATAATGTTTTATCTAGAGAAATATATTCATGACACTTTTTTAATAAAAGCAAATTACACACTCTGATCCAAAGACCAAAAGCAGAACCACAGATATGAATTTAGCTTACACTTTCTACTCCTAGCATAATTTCTAGGCCTAGAAAATCCATTTATGCTTTGGTTCTCTTCTAATATTACTTGATTCAATTCAACAAGCCTGTATTATGCTCCTGTGGTGTACCAAGAATTATACAGGCCCTGGCCGGTTTGGCTCAGCGGTTAGAGCGTCGGCCTGCGGTCCTGAGAGACCCGGGTTCGGTTCCCGCTAAGGGCACGTACCTCGGTTGCAGTTTGTCCCTGGCCCTGGTCGGTTGTGCGGGTGGCAACCACTCGATGTGTCCCTTCATATCGATGTTTCTCTCTCTCTGTTCCTCTCTCTCCCTCCCACTCTGTCTGAACAAAAAATGGAAAAATGTCCTCGGGTGAGGATTTAAAAAAAAAAAAGAATTATACAGTAACAGGCTCACACTTGCCTTCATGGTATATGCTGTGGGGCAGGGAGAGAATAGAACCCCTATTTAATGCATTGGGTTAAGTGATTTAACAAAGGCATACTTAAAGTTTAATGACCCCACAGAGGAAAGAACACTCATTCTGAGTAGTAGGAGAGAGTGGGAGCTGAGAAAACTACAGAGAAGAAATGATACTTGAGCAAGGCTTTGAAGCAGTTAGGGATTTGCCAGCTGGGTTGAGAGTCCTGGGCAGGGAAAACCTGTAAAGAAATGGACCAGAGTTTAAAAATATCAAGCTTATTTGGTAAATTATAAGTGGTCCCCTATACCTTCCAAAATATGTAATGAGAAATTAATTAGAAGATAAAGCTATGAAGGAAGTTTGGGATCGTATCATGAAGAATATTCTATGCTATTTTGAGTTAGACTTGATTCAGTAGCAGTGTAGAGTTATTGAGGTTTTTAAGCAGGAGAATAAAATGATTAGATGTTAATAAAATGATAGGATGCCAGCTCTGATGGTAAAGTATAATCAAGTTTAGTTTCCTAGTATCCTTTCTTTGGCGCACTTAACAACTTGATCATGAAAATTGTATTTATTGCCTTTACCCTTTGAACATATATAGGTCTTTAAGTTCCCTGAATTTCTTGTCTTTTGTGAAACATCTGGTCTGCAGTGGGGCATTGCCTTCTTTCCCCGCTGTTCCTGAAGTTCAAGGAACGGACAGTGAGTCATCAGCTCATTCAGGCTCTGTTGGGTGGAGCCTAATAGTCAAGTCATAATATTTTGACTAATCCCTGGCTCTGAAAACCAGGTCTTTTTAAAGATTACTAATCTGAGGAGATTACCCAACAAAGAACTGCTCTTTTTTTTTTTTAATTTGTTTTTGTTACAGATGTTTCTCCTTTTCCCTGCCTAGACACCCTCCTCCCAATCCCATCCCCCACCCCCCAAGGCATTGTTGTCTATGTCCATTGGTTACACATACATGCATATAAATTCTTTGGTTTCTCATCCATCCCTCCCATCCCCTTCCTCTGAGGCTTGTCAATCTGAACCATATTCCTTTCTATGTCTCTGGATCTATTTTGTTCATTATATTCCACAAATAAGTGAGATCATGTGGTATTCCTCTTTCTCTGATTGTCTTATTTTGCTTAGCATAATACTTAAGAACTGCTCTTTTGACCTGTGAGTCACAGGTGGCTGATAAAGGATAATCTGTATTTCTTTTCTTGGCAAGGAGGAAGTGACTGTAATACATAAATCATTATATATAAAACATCTAATTAATTAGAACATAAATGTGGAGTGGGGAAAGGTAGGAGAAGATATGGATTAAATAGTCTTGATTCATCCCTGGCCAGGTAGCTCAATTGGTTAGTGTCGTCCTGATACTCCCAAGGTTGGGCCCGGTCAGGACATATACACAGAATCAACCAATGAATGCATAAATAAGTGGAACAGCAAATCGTTCTCTTTCTGTCTGTCTCTGTCTCCCTTTCTCTCTCTAAAATAAATTTTTAAAATAGTAAAAAAAAAATAGTCTTGCTTTGGTGATGCATTACTTGATGAAGGCTTTCTCTATTTTAACATTCATGCTTATAAAAGGAAATTATTTCCTTTTCTGCCTTTCTTTAACTTTAAAAGCTGCCTAGACCATAGATTCTTTCTTGCCTGGTATTGAGTGTATGCCAAATCTACCCTCAAATGCACAGATGGAAAAAATTAGTCTATGTCTGTGGTACCTCTGGGGTTGAATATTTTTAGTACTTAAATCTTTAGCTAAAGATTCTTTCTTCCAAGACTCTCATAGAATCATTTTATTGTCATCCAATGGATAAACTTGCTGAGATAAAAATCAATATCATGTGTTTGTATATCCCTTTACAGTTTATTATGAGCTTTCTCATATACCTTAATTTAGGCCTCAGAATAACCTTGAAAGTTATTCCCATTTTATAAATTAAGAAAGAAAACTTTAGTCTCAACACTCAGAGAGTTAGAAGAATTTAAACTTGAATGTGGGCCTTCTCATCTTAGTTTAGGGCTCTTTCCTACCTCCCTAATCTACTCTAAAACAAAAGTCCATTTTTTTCTCACTAGATAGAAAACTTAGGACAAATTCTTTCTCACGTTCAACCTCAAAGCCTAACTACAACAAATCTTGACGAATGCCTATTGTGGGAAAAATAGTAGCTGAGATACAGTAATAATAAGACAAAGTCTCTGCTCTAATGTGGAGCTAACATTCTACTGAAAAAAAGGAAGAAAGTGAGCTAACATTTATTAAGGGTTTACTGTATCCCGTGCACTTTTCTCAGGGCTTTACATGTAGCACTCTAAGAGATCAATTTTGTTATTATTCTTACCATTCAGTTCAGGAAGCTGAGGTGTATA